TGGGGCCCGCGCCCTCCGCTGCCCTCCGCTCCCGCCCTGCCGGCCGCCGTGTGGTGCGCGTGGCGCGCCAGCTGCCGTCCGGGGAAGGCCCCTCTTTGTCTCCGGGCAATGGCACCCCCGGGCGGGAGCCGGCGCCGCGCGCAGCCGGCCCTGCGGCGTCGGTTCCTCCGTCGGGCTCCCTGTCCCACAGCCCTTCTCAGAGTCTCGGAGTCACCGCAGGTCTCACTGTCGGGAGCGGCGTCCTAAGGAGCCACGTTAGAGGTCCCAGGCCGAGCGGGTCCCCGGCCGACAGCAGCCCGCGCCGCAGCGAGGAGCTGGCGCCGCCTCCCGGGCCGGGAGGAGACTCCGGGCTGCTCCTGCGAAGCAGCGCCCGCCACCTTCTCCGCTGTCGTCGGCCGACGGGGCCGCACGCTCGAGCAGCCCAGCGCTCTCCGCCCCAAGAGGAAACACCAGCAAATGATACGATACGTGCTCTTCTCAGACAGCTCTCATTGTAAATGCATTATTACCCTATTTTAAACCTTTCATGACTACCTAAATATGATTTACTTAATTTGTCTGTAGAGGACCTTTATAAAAATTAAGTTTAAAAAGTCAGAAGAAAAGTCTTTGGCTGCCATGTGTCTGGGATTCGGGGTTCAAAGAACATAGCCCCTGCACCTATAATCTGCCCCAGGGATCCTACAATTGGAGCAGATGGTGTTCTCCAGACCTCTCTGGAAATCAAAAAGGTCACAGTGGCGACAGACAAGCAGGATCAAGAGGGAGGAGGCATACCGTGGAGACGAAATGCAGCAGCTTCTATCAGTGCAGAGCGAATATCGCAAGGACTATCGAACTCTGTGCAGGTAAAGACACACATTAGATTCTGGGGTGGCCGAAGTAATCCGTGTTCACAACACTTTATCTCATACTCAGGGAGATGCTGCAGGAAGAAATTGGAGGATAAAGGCTTCAGATCTCATCGAGTCTTTCTATGGTTATTTTTAAATAAAGTTTAAAAAGTAATTACCAAAAGATGAAAAGGCCATTTAAAAACCTTTGGAAATGCTAAAAGTATGACAGGTAAAGAAAAGGAAGTTGAGCTGGTGACTGACGAGACGTAACTTTTTCTGGTCTTTGCTGCCAGTTACTAACAATTACATTTGATAAACAGGAAGCAGCCGAGTCTGGCACACAGGAAATAAGTATTTGCAAAGCAAAGGTTTTCTTTATTTTCTTCCGCTATGAGAACAACTTTTATCTAAATATCTAGAAAATAATAAGTCAGTTCCTCTGAAAACTTTTCTTTACACTCTAAGTCCATTTCTTCCCCAATAAATTTTGCAGGAAATTCTACTATTTTTCTGTGGGATGTGATGAATATTTCTCCAGTGATTTCAAGTGAGAGTTATAACGCAGTGTCACGATTTAAGACTCCAGTTATTCAATTTGATGGTTTTTAAAAAGTGTTTAAGATTGTTTTTACCAAGTAAAAGCAATTTTTCATTTCTCACAGTAACACTTATGGTTGCATCTGCAGTCTAATTTTAACCAATAAATGTGTCATTTCATTCTGTTGAAGTTGCACATGGAGCTCTCTAGAAGTGCACGCCGTGGGGCTCAGGGACCACCACCGGAGTGAAGGCTGAGGCCAAGTAGACAGAACTCCAGGATTCTGATCCATGTGTCATCCAGAGCATCTCTGCTTTATCTGTCTTCTATGTAAGCTTTCATTTGCCTAAAAGATTTCAGTAAATTACAAAAAATTAAGACCATTGTTATAATAGAATTTTTTTAAATTATTTTTTTAATTTTAATTTTTTAAAAGATGACAGGTAAGGGGATCTTAACCCTTGATTTGCTGTCGTCAGCATCATGCTCTCCAAGTGAGCTAACCAGCCATCCCTATATAGGGATCTAAAACCGTGGCCTTGGTGTTATCAGCACCGCACTCTCCCGAGTGAGCAACGGGCCGGCCCTATAATAGAATTTTAGAGTTGGAAAACATCTTAGAGATAATTTAGTCCAATCTCCTCATTTTACAGATAAGTCCATTGAGACCCAAGGACTTTTTCTGTGTCACCTGCCTGAGATCACACCCCAGTCTGTGGATGTTACTGTGACTGCTTGTCACCTGCGCAGTGCTTTCAGGTCAGAGCTGGCTACATTACCCCTTCCTGGCATCACTTATCAGGCCTTCTTTTTGCTATGGACATGTGTTTGTCTTTTCTTCTAACAAGATTACATAAAAGCTATCTCGTGGAGTGGTCCTGTTATCCAGTTGGCCTTCCCTAAGCTCTTCAATTTCGCACCTTATTTTAAAATATTCAATTTATTCCTTGATTGTAGCTACACCATTCACTCCCACTGGCTGTGAACAGCCTGTTAGTTGCCTATCCAATATCCATTCTCCTGCCTGCCATATTAACAGAGTCCTGTTTTGGGGGTGGGGTTGAGGGTAGCGATATGCTGTTTTAGTCCATTTTGTGTTGCTATAACAGAACTACCTGAGACTGGGTAATTTATAAGGAAAAGAGGTTTATTTGGCTTACGATTCTGGGACAGCTGCATCTGGCATGGGCCTCAGGCTGTTTCTACTCATGGCTGAAACTGGCAGACAGCTGGCGGGTACAAGCAGATCACATGGTGAGAGGAAGCAAGAGAGAGAGGGAAGGTGCCAGGGTCTTTTTCAGCAACAAGCTCTCACAGGAACTAATAGAGCGAGAATTCACTCATTAATCCCCTCTCCCCCAGAAGAGCATTAATCCATTCATGAGGGATCCACCCCCATGACTCAATCAGTTTCCAACACTGCCACATTGGAGATCAAATTTCCACATGAGTTTAGGGGGGACAACACATCCAAACTCCATCATTCCACCCCTGGCCCCCCAAAACTCATGTCACTCTCACATACAAAATACAATCATTCTATCCCAACAGTCCCAAAAGTCTTAGCTTGCTCCAGCACCAACTTAAAAGTCCAAAGTCTCATCTGAGAACAAAAGCAAAACTCCTTCCAGCTGTGAACCTGAAAATCAAAACCAAATTTATCTACTGCCAAGATACAATGGTGGAACAGACATTGGGTACACGTTCCCATTTGAAAAGGGAGGAATAGGCCAAAAGAAAGGAAAAACAGGCCCCAAACAAGTCTGAAACCCAGCAGGGCAGACATTATGTCTTAAAGCTCCAAAATAATATTCTTTGACTACAAGTCCTGCATCCTGGGCACAATTGGGCATCTGGGCCCCCAAAGCAACAGGCGGCCTCTTTCCCACAGCTCTGCCAGGTGCAGCCCAGTGGGCTGTGCTGGTGCCTGCAACTTTTCCAGGCTGGTGTTCCACTCTGGTAGCTCCATAAGTCTGGGGTCTCCGTGGTGGTCCCGCTGCCTTGGCTCTACTAGACATTTCCCTGGTGGGGGCTCCCTGTGGGGGCTCCAACCCCACTTTCCTGCTCAGCATTGCTCCAGTAGATGGCCTCAGCAGTGGCTCTGCCTCTGCGGCAGGTCTCTGCCTGGGCCCCCAGGCTTTTCCATACATCCTCTGGGTGTAGAGGCTGCCATGCCTCCACTGCTCTCATGTCCTGCTGGCCTGCAGACTTAACATGACGTGGATGCCACCGAGGTTTCAGGCCTCTACTCTCCAGGGCTGCTGCACAAACCACACTTGGGGCCACTCCAGCTGGAGCAGCTGGGATGCAGGGAGCAGGATCCCGAGGACAGCTGTGCCCCAGGTCTGTCCTCCATGATAACTCAGTCCTTCTAGGCCTCAGGGTCTGTGATGGGTGGGGCACCCTTCCAGACTTCTGAAATACCTGCAGGGTTTTCTTCTCATTTTCTCTGCTATTAGCATCTGGCTGCCTCACTGCCAAGATAATGTCTTTAGCAACCAGTTTATCTGCTTCACCCTTGCATTGTACTCCAGCTCTCTGCTTCTTTACTGCTTGGCCAGGCTGCAGAGTTTCCAAATCTTTACACTCTGCTTCCCTTTTAAATTCTGGCTTTACATCATGCCTTTGCCGCCATAACTCAGAGTAGGCTGTTAGAAGTAGCCATGCAGCATTCTTAATGCTTTGATGCTTAGAAATTTCTTTGGCCAAATGCTCTGGTTCACAACTCTTAAGTTCCAACTTCCACAATGTCCAAGGGCATGGACACAATGCAGCTAAGTTCCTTGCTGTGGTGTAGCAAGGGTGATCTTTTGCCCAATTCCCAATAAGTTCCTCATTTCTGTCTGAGACTTCATTATCCACATGGCCTTTACTGTCCACATTTCTATCAGCATTCTGCTCGCCACCACATAAGTCTCTAAGACATTCCAAACTTTCCCTCATCTTTTTCTCTTCTTCTAAGTCCTCCAAACTCCTCCAACATTTACCCATTACCCAGTTCAAAAGCTGCATCCACATTTTCAGGTATCTGTATAGCAACACCGCAGTCCTGGTACCAATTTTCAGTTTTAGTCCATTTTGTGTTGCTATAACAAAATACCTGAGACTGGGTAATTTATAAAGGAAAGAGGTTTATTTGGCTTACGATTCTGGGACAGCTGCATCTGGCATGGGCCTCAGGCTGTTTCTACTCATGGCTGAAAGTGGCAGACAGCCGGAAGGTATGAACAGATCACATGGTGAGAGGAAGCAAGAGAGAGAGAGAAGGTGCCAGGGTCTTTTTAAGCAACAAGCTCTCACAGGAACTAATAGAGCGAGAACTCACTCATTAATCCCCCCTCCCCCAGGGAGAGCATTAATCCATTCATGAGGGATCCGCCCCCATGACTCAATCAGTTTCCAACACTGTCACACTGGAGATCAAATTTCCACATGAGTTTTGGAGGGGACAACACATCCAAACTCCATCATGTGCCCAGCTAAAAACATTCCCAGGACCTCTTTTAGCTCAGTTCTGAACAATAGAGCACAAGTAGGACTTCAGGGAAAGCTCATCAAAGGGAGTTTGCTCATGCCCATTTGCTCTTTGTCTTTTCTCCTTTCTACCTGGAATATAGCTTGATGACTGGAGCCATAGCAACAGTGTTGTGAGCATGAGGATGACAGCTGCAGCCTGGGAACGGTGGAGTGACAAGCTAAAGAAAACCTGAGTCCTTGATGGAAGCTTCCATCGCAGCCCTGGACTTCCTACCTCTTGACTTCTCCTAATGTGAGAGAAAAATAAAACCTGTCAGTTTAAGCAAGTGTTATTTGGCTTTCCTTTTATATGCAGCTAACTGTAATTCCCAATGGCTCCTGTTTAGGACAAGAGCAAAGTAGGTTAGAAATTCAGTTTTATTGACTGATCTTTCTTTGGAACACTTACCACCTACTCATATAGTAGCCTGTGCATACAACATCATAGAGCTTATAGTATAATAATAATTTATTCACTTAGTCGTGTAATGAAACTGTCTCCTCCCCCTGCTCCCTACCGATGTCTGACGCTCCCTACGTGTGTATGACTCTTGTCCAGATGCTATATCCACAGATTGTAAGACCTAAAATTCTGAGCACTGTCTTGACATCTCTGAGCATCACAGGACCCAAAGGTCTGACTGTGAGTTCTCCTGTTCTCACCAGATGTGCACCACCCAGAAGGAAAGTCTCACTGCCCAGCTCATTCCCCCATCAGCTGGACCAGCTTCCGCCCCTGCAGTTCTCAACCTAATGGGTGTCCCCTTCCTTTCAGCTTGTGAAATTATTTAAACACACCCATCATGTGTTCCAGCAGGGACCAAGGGTCACCCCACTCTCTTGTCACTATGAAGCCTGCCTCCCAGGGCCCCTGATGGTTGGTCATGCTCCAGAGGGCAGCCCCTGTGTGCCCGTGCAAGGCATGTGCATCACTAACAAGCCGCTGTCAGGCTCCCCCATCCAGCGTTGGCATCTTCTGCTTGACCATCTCATGCTTTGTAGGGTGAGTAGGGGGTGATCAAAACAGTCCATTTATCCAAGAAATATTTACTGAGGCTCTCGGGTGCCAGATGCTGGGCCGGGCGATGGCCATAAGTGTCAGCAAGACAAATACAGTGCCTGCCTTTGAGGCACACACGCTCTAGTGGGGAAGGAAAACAAAGGAAAAACACAACAGAGCAATAAATTCAGTGATTACAGCTGCGATGGGTGTTACAAAGAGGAGGTGGAGAATACCTAGGGTGGCAGAGGAAGAGGAAAGTGGGGTGGGAGTAGATTTAGATAGGTGGTAACAAAAGAGTCCCTGAGAAGGTAGCATAAAGAAAGACCTACAGGAAGAACAGGAGCCAGGTATGTGAAGACCAGAGGAAGAGCCATCCAAGCAGAGCAAATAGCACATTCCAGGCCCAGAGGCTGGGGATGGGGGGTGGAGGGGAGTGGAAAGAGATTCAGCTGGAGAGACAGGAGAGGACAGATAAAAGGGGTGGTAAAGCATTTGGATTTAATGCCATGGGAATTCATTGAAGGGTGCCAAGCTGCACATAACTGCTTACAGTTTTAAAAGCTCACTTTTATAAAAAAAAAAAAAATTATAGAAAATAGATGGAAGGGGCCAAGAGTGGAGTAGGGAGGTAGTTACAGTCTTTCAGGCAAGAGGCGATGGTGGCCTGGACTGGGTGTTGACAATGCAGGTGGGAGAGGCCAGATTTCTGATGTATGTTAGAGACAGAATGAGTGGGGTCTGCTTCTGCATTAAGAAGGGTGAGGGTAGTGGAGGACTTGAGGCTGATTCATGGAGATTGATTTGAGTAATTGGAAGGATGGTGGTGATGTTTACTATGTCAGGGAAAACTAGAGGTGAGGCAGGGCTGGAGGAAAGGACAGATTTGGGAAGGATACTCAAGCTCCTTCTGGACCTATTAACATGTCTGTGAGGCAGCTACATGGAGATGTCAAATGAATAATTGGATATATGGGTCTGGACATCTGCAAAGAGGCTGGGGTTGAGATACAAAATTGAGAATCGTCATCATGAAGACAGTGCTTACGCTCAGGGTGCCATCTAGGCATGGCGTGTACGAAGGAACGGAGGAGTGTCAGCAGCCGGCTAGGACAAAGCCACGCCCTGAGGTGTGAGTGGGCTCACAGTGAATGCTCCTGTGGCTAATCACACAGGGAAGGGGCCATTTGGTGCAGCCGTTACTTCCCTCAGAGACTGAAACCCAGGAGTGGGGTGCTGCAGTCCCCTCATCAGACAGAGTTTGCATTTCAGCAACTCAAGATGCCTTGCTGGGGCTCCCAGGTAAGAGGAATACAGAGAACCTCTGCCACCTGGAAGCAGGTGTGCACCCCACAGGCAGACCCAAGGCACCCTGACGACTCACATTTTGTGAGTTACATTACCAGTTACATGTTACTCTTTCTGCTCATTTCCCTTTTGTTATCTTCAAGCTTTTAAACAAGCTTTGTATAAATGTCCACCTTGGGGCCGGCCCGTGGCTCACTCGGGAGAGTGTGGTCCTGATAACACCAAGGCCACGGGTTCGGATCCCATATAGGGATGGCCGGTTAGCTCACTTCAGTGAGCGTGGTGCTGACAACACCAAGTCAAGGGTTAAGATCCCCTTACCGGTCATCTTTAAAAAAAAAAAAAAAAAAAAAAAAACGTCGACCTTGGTCTGTGCTTTACCATGGGACATTAAACAAAAAAAAAATGTGTCTACACTGGTGTTGAAGATTTCAAGGGATACTGAACCTCCAAGTCCCACATGGTCATAGCAGCAGCCAGTAGTGAGAGGCCCTAAGGGGAAGGTGGGCCTCTTTTTCCAGAGTAAGTGCATCAGTTTCAGTCTCTCTTCTCCACGTGGTAGGGCTCCTTCCATAGCCAGCCTTAAAGGAGCTGGTTTTAATGTTTTTGAAGGGAGCTAGTCTTTTTTTACAGCTCCCCCAGCTCCCACCCCATTTGATTGTGCGCTCCTCAAACTGACATACTTTGTCTTTGTACCCCTAGTGTCCAGGAGGGAGCAGGAACTCCATAAATGTTAATAGCTGATTGAATGTCTACAAGACTTTGTGAGACATGCTATGGTTCCTCAAAGAGTTTGCAATCCAGCGATGGTGATCAGATGTATACACGAATGCACGGCAGAGTGTCAAAAGCACTGGAGGTGACATGAAAGAGCTGGGAAGTACTATTTGGTCACAGGCAAGGGAGAAATTATTCCAGTGTGGGGACATCAAGCTTGGAACAGACTTCGTGGAGGAGAAAACATATGGCTGGGCCTTGAGGGCTGGAGAGAATTTCCGTAAGTGGGATGAGTAGGAGCTAGGGATACATGCCATGCAGAAGCACCAGCGACAGCAGAGGTGGGGATGGGGGGCTGGGCATTCCGTCTCCTCCATGCACGACCAGTAATGAGGCTTGTTGCAAGGATAGTGGAGGAAGCATCTAAGGCATGGAATTGTGTTGGGGCCCCACTGCAGAGCTCTAAAAAATGTCTTTCTCAGTGGGCAAGGGCTCTCTCGTCTCGAGTCAAACAAAAAATATCAGTCAATCGTTCAATCCCAGTGAACCCTGATAGCTCATATTGGCTTGTTATGGTAAAAATATTTCTCAGCAGTCAGACCTGTTAAACCCTAGAATGGGCTAATGTCAGTGGCAGCTTTAGAAAATCTTTTGCTAGAGATTTTTATACCTAAAATAGATTTATCATTAGTTGATGATTTCCTGTGGCCTCTCTTTAAATCATGGGAATGAACTATACAAGCTCCCAAATTCTATGTTATTCAATTGAGTTCAACAAATATTTAAGTGTCAGCTTTGTGCATGACACTGGGCATTGCTATGACTGAATTCCCCTCAAGGTGCACCTCTTCCAGTGATCCCAATCCCAACAGACAACACTTCCATCTGATTTGGTTGCCCAAATCAGAAACCTAGACTAATCCTCGATTCCTCACTCTCCCTCACCACTCACATTCAATTCATCCCCAGTCCCTATCATTCCACCTCCCTAAAACATCTCTGGAATTTGTCCACCTCTCTCCAATCTCCCCATCCTGTTCCAATCACTAGCATCTCTCCTGTGGATTGCTGCAATTATCTAAACGATCTCCAGGCCCCACGCTTGGCTTGCTCCAATCCATCCCGCACACACTGTCTTTCTGAAGTGGAGGTCTGAAAGCATGTCACTCTCCTGCTTCATATTTCTTGTGTGGGCTCTGGGCTTCTGGGAGAGGCAGGAGGTGTGGATTCTGAGCCAGACTGCTGAGATCATCCGGTGCACTTGAATTCCAGCGCTGCTGCATGCCAGCTGTTTGACCCTGGGCGAGTTACGGAGGCACTCATTGCAGTTTTGTCACCTGTAAAAAGGGGATCATAGCAGTAATTCAGTTTGGAGAGTTGAGAGGGTTAAATGAAGCTGGGTCTTCCCTCTTCCATGAATTCTCACATTTGGAGTGCCCCAGTCTCTTGTCCTCTTCCCTCTCCATGCTCACTCCCTTTGCCATCTCTACTGCTCTGGTGGCTGTAAATACCATATGCTGAAAATGCCCACATTTAGATCTGTACCTCTGGCCTCTCTCCTGAGCCCAAGATTCACATGGCCAGCTGCTTTCTCAACATCTCCACTTGGATAACTAATGGAGCGAATAGACATATTAAACTTAGCATGTCTAAAACTGAACTGATTATTTTCCCCTCAAATGTTGTTTCCACCCATGGTCTTTCTAATGTCAGGAATGGAGCTGTCCTTCCAGATGCTAAAGCTCCCATCCTGCTGGCTCCGCTCTCAGACTGTGCACATAATCCAGCTCTTCCTCACCATCTTCCTAGCCACATCATCCATCATCTGTCACCATCATCATCTCTCACCGAGATTATTTCAGTGGCCTCCTAACTGGTCTCCTTATGCCCTAGTCTCTCCTCAACCCAGGGGATTGACAAATCAGATCCTGTCACTCCTTCATTCAAACCCTCCATGGGCTCTCCATTTCACAATGGCTACAAGCCAAAGTCTTTAAAATAGCTTTCAAGACTGTGTAATCAGGCCCCCCGACCTGTCACCTCGTCTCCTAGTCACACGATCATCCTGACTGTTCCTGGGACTCACCAAACATGCTCTGGCCTCAAGGCCTCTGCACTGCCTATTCCCTTTACCAGAATGCTCTTCCCCCAGACATCCCTGCTGCTAATTCCTTCACCTCCTCAAGTCTTTAACATGCTCTGGCCTCAAGGCCTCTGCACTGCCTATTCCCTTTACCAGAATGCTCTTCCCCCGGACATCCCTGCTGCTAATTCCTTCACCTCCTCAAGTCTTCACTGTTTCTTCTCAATGGAGTTTACTCTGACTACTCTTTAAAAACCATAACCAGCCCTCCAATCCCATGACACTCCTGATCTCTCTTCCAGTTTTTTTCATTGCACTTACCACCTTCTAACATAACTTTACTTATTTTGTTTGTTGATTATTATCCAACTTCCCCCACTAGAATGTAAAGTGTACTAGGGCAGGGACGTTTGTCTTTTGTTTGCTAGTGTAATGTATCTGTGCACTGGAACATAGTTGGGCTCACTAAATATTTTTGGAATGAATGGACAGTGTGTGGCACACAGTGTTTTATAAATATTAACAATTATTACAAGGCTCAAAACCACCTGGCTCCTACTTACCTTCTTAATCTCAGCTCTGTGCACTCTTTCTTGCATTTTCTCTTAGCTGTTCTTCCACCTTTTCATCCGAGAAATCCATACTCATGTTCCAGTTTTAGTTTAGAAGCACTTGACTGACTCTGGGCCATCCCCCTCCCCCAGTACTCCTCCCACCCCACATGGACCCCTTGCTTCTCACACTATTGTAATTACTAGCTTCTCGTGTGTCTTACTAGCTAGACTCTTGACCACAGGGATGGTGCCTATGACAGCAGTCACTGCAGCATCCCCAGCACCCAGCACAGGCTCTCACAGTAAATGTTAATTCAATGAGTGAATGAGAGATGCTCACAGCAGCGATTGCATTTCTGTGCCTTAGACACACATTACTTGGTAACCACATGTTATTGTACCTCATGCTGTTTCTTACATAATAACAATTACTAATATTTTTCTAGCAATCCTCACTACAGCTCTGTGAAGTAGATACTATTAGTGTCCTTATTTGAGAAGTGAGGAACTTGAAGTTTAGAGTAGTTAAGGTAACTTCTCAATGTCACACAGCTGGTCAGTGTTGGAACAGGATTCAAACCCAGGCACTCTGGTAGCAGATCCCCTATGCTTACACAATGCCACATCATTCAGCCATTTTGCTTTTGGGTTTTCTCTTTACTTAGATCAAAATTAGCCAACTATCTGTCCTTAGCAGATATGGCAAAGAATAATCCACACCACCTTCAACAGCAGAGGTACTGCCACCCACACTCAATTTTACCAAAGTGAAAACTAAGGCCCAGGGAGGGTGATTCCCTCTTCTAGGTCAACATTATTACCATTGAGATAGGAGGTAATCAGTTTCCCCGGGCTCTGGTTTCAGGACACTCCTCTGAGTTTCAAGCCACTCCCCAAGGTCTTGGGCCCCTCCTTCTGACCCTCTAATGGAAGAGAGTTACTGTTGCTAATTGCACCTATTTTCCACACCAACATGGAGAAGTTGAGACCCCAAGGGGCAGATTTGTATCACTCGGGGGGCTGGGAATACTCAGCAAAAAGGAGTTATAGAACCCCAGTGGCCGAGCATGCTCAGTAGAGGGGAGTTTGTCCTCTGAATGACCTTCCACTAGAGGCACTAGAGAGCACTGAACTGTCTAGGTGTCTTCCAGTGGGTAGGTTGGAATTCAAAAGAGACCAGCTGTGTGTGTGCATGAGGATGTTACATAAGCGGGAACCACCCCCTTACTTAAATATTCATTAGGTAGTATGAGTATTCAGTAGATAACCAAACTATAAAAGTCAAACCATGTAGAAGGCAGGGCTGCTGCTGCTCACTCTCTCTACAGCCAGCCCAGGCATATTTCTTTCTTTTTGTATCAAATTTGCCTTTAGAAGGCTGTGCGCACTGTGGGGCCAGCCTGCTCTTTGTAAATGTGTATTTCTTAACTTTTGTATTAAACTCGCCATGGTTGGTTGATGGCTTTCCTGGAGCCCACCCGCACCTTGCAGAGAGATGTGTATATTGTACTTTTGTGTTAAGCTTATTTCTAAGGGGCTGTTGCCCAGTCTCTGGAGCCAGCCTACACTTTGTACTAAACCTGAAGAACCTGAAATGTGCATTTCTTACTTTTGTATTAAACTTGGTGCAGACCCCGCTCAGTCTCTGGAGCTAGGACGCACTCTCTCTGTGAAGCGTCTACTTCTTAACCATTACATTAAACCTGTTTTCACCTTGTATTGTGACTCTGTCCTTGAATTCTTTCCTGTGGTGGAGTCAAGAACGTGCTAGAGAATGGCGTGGGTTGAGGCCGGCTACCCCACCGTCCCAGACCCTCTTCTGGGGTATCACCATCACCACCACAGCTTGCCATTTTACCCAACACTTACAATGTGCGAGGAACCAGGGCAGATCCTTTCACACCTCATCTCACTTAATGACTGATTTTTCATTCAGCTGAAATTAAACCTTGTCTTCTGACTTATACTCCATGCCTTTCTGGATCAAGATGACTTGAACCACTTAAACTTAAAATAGCATCAAAGTTACCAGACCTCCAAAGCAAGTTGGAGACCCGCCCAACCCCTTCATTTTCAGATCTGGGAACCTGAAGGTGAAGGGTTTTGCCCAAGGTCAAGCAGGTGGTGGTCTCGCTGGGGCTGGAAGAGGCCTCCTGACAACAGGAAGCTGTGCAGCCGATCACGTTTACTCTACCCAATGCCCAGCAAGTAAATGAGAAGGCGCATCTCTTTCTAAATGCACTCATCTAACGGAGGGGAGTTATTACTGCTTATGGTTTATCACCCATGATGCGCTTTTATGTAAGCCGTGCCCCAGAAGTCACCCCCAACACACGTACACTTCGTAGCACCCTTGCAGGCGCACTCGCACTTAGGCAGGTGGCGGCCGCCCCGGCCCTTTGTGATTGGATGGTTGATTTTTTAAAATAAAATCACTCTTGGGAAGGAAATGTATGACTTTTTTCCCCCCTTAAATCCTCATTTTTTAAGAGAAAATCTTTTTGTTTTAGGAATACATGCCTAACTCCTAAGTGACCTGGGTATTAGAATCTCACTAATTGACATTATCTGATGTAATTTAGACCACATCTTGTAGAGTCTGTTCAACTTTGGATGTTAAAGAAATGGTAAGATAGTGAAATGACCTGGAAACCATACCATAGCATGAACAGTAGAAGGATCTTGGGGTTTGGCCCTGAAAGCTTATAGTTGTCTTTAAATAATGGCAGGGCTGTTGTGTAAACTTGCTCTGTAAGGCAGAGCTAGGGGGCAAATTTCAGCTTAACAAAAGAAAGAACTTTCTAATAATCAGAGCTGCCCAGGAATAGAATGAGCTTTCTCAAAAGGGTAAATTTCCCTTCACTGGATGAATTTAAGAAGGTTTACATGCCATCTCAGAGGTCCTGTTAGAGATGTTACTGACAGTGCTTGAAGTCACTGAATGACATGAACATTTCCTAAATCACTGTTGTCATCATGCATTCCATTTTACAGGGGCGGGCGGGGCCGGGCCTCTTTTCCTCGGGGAGCCTCGGCGGTGAGGGGAGCGACGTCGGAGATGGAGGCGGTGGAGTCACGGGGAGTGCGGCTGGCGCGGGATGGCTGGTGCTTCCTTAGCAGTGCGCAGGGGAGCTTCAGGCTCCTGCGGTACAGGAAGACTGAGCCTGCCTCGAGAGGTGGGAAGCTGGGGCTGCCGCACGGACGGGAGGGCGTTCTGGTGGCGTGGAACCCAGTATAGCTTCTTCTCTTTTTAGGGGTGAAATGTGCAGAGTCCTGAGGCTTTCGGACTGAAGAAGGCTCCGCCATGATCCATAGTCTTTTCCTGATCAACTCCTCTGGAGATATTTTTCTGGAGAAGCACTGGAAGAGTGTGGTCAGCCGTTCTGTGTGCGATTACTTTTTTGAGGCGCAGGAGAGAGCCACGGAGGCAGAAAATGTGCCTCCAGTTATCCCTACCCCTCACCACTATCTCCTAAGTGTTTATCGCCACAAGATCTTTTTTGTGGCTGTGATCCAAACGGAGGTCCCACCTCTGTTTGTCATTGAGTTTCTTCACCGAGTAGTGGACACGTTTCAGGTTCGTGAATGTAGGAAGTTTCATGTACGTAAACTGTAAAGTGTCTTTATAGTCCTGTTTCCATTGGATCCAGCCTCAGTTAAGAAACTTAAACAAAACAAAACAAAAAACGGACATTGCTCACTTGTTCTCCCATCTAAGACTTTTGTTTCTATTTATTGAATTGGCTGCATCCACAATGACAAATTGAACACTTCTGAACCCGTTGCATGAAAAAGCCACCCTACTTGATATTGTGTGCAGTCTTTGTAATTCTGGTCCTACTGTTTGCTCATAAATTAGAGGAGTTTAGGTTTTTTTATATGGTAAGCTCGATGCAGCTCAAAGCATTGTTAGCTACATTGTTTTCGGTTGCATTAGAAAGTGATGTGTGTGAAATTTTGTGAAAGAAAAAGTAGAAAAAGCTAAGTAATGCTTATTTTAAATGTCCCCGGCAGCAGTAACCTGTGAACCCATGCTTCATCCTGGGTTTGGGGTGGTTATCCATAGCATGTGAGTACTAATGGTGAGCTCTTGTTGCAAACGTGAGATTGGGAAGCTGTACCGGTAACATTTAAGTGGCACGTTTTACAAGATGCAGTTTTCATTTTGAGTTTTTCCTTTGGGAATAGATTTGATCTTGGGGGTCGGGGATACAGGGTGTAGGGAAGGTAGGTTATACCAGGATAGAGCACCATTTCTAGCACAGGATGATAGACTATTTAGATTCAGACAGTGGGATCCTCTGTCTAACAGAATAACTCAATTTCTGTTGTGGTTATTTGCATAACTCAAAAGATAAATGAGAAGCAGGGACCCTTTGGTTTAACTTCTGTGTCATGTGAGGTCTGGAATTAGTCACATGAATACAGGATTTGTGGAACTGGAGAAGAGAATGAGGATGCAGACATTACGATAAAAATTAAAAAGCAAGTCAGAGAGTCCTTTCATTTGCAGTCATGTCTGTATCACATGTCTAGAGCAGCTTTCATTCCCAAGGGAAATGTGTTTTATAAGTTTTTTCCTATAAATACTGTCTGATAATACTATTATTCTGGGACTCCAGTTTTCATATGGCATAGTAGCTCCTTTGCACAATGAAAACCTAAGAATTATAAGCCGCAGTATGTGGAAGAACTAGAAGTAGAAGAACCCAGTAGCTATGATCTTAAACCACTCTAAATGGGCCTGTTTGTGATTTCCACATATGATACTTTACCCATTCTAAGCTTAACAGCTCCACTGGTGAAACTCAACAGCTGTTTGTTAGCACCATACCAATATTATGTAACTTATTACGAGATGGGAAGTGGGAAAAATTGTTTAATCTGGTTGAAACCACAGAGGAATTAGGGAAAGCAGAGTCAAGTTTCTAGTTTGAAAGTCTGGTACTTCAGAGCTTGTCATTTTTGCAGGAGTTGTCAGAAATAAGTGGATACTCAGTGACTTCAGTGTCTTACTTTGTGAGTTCGCTCTGGCAGCGCCATTTTTCTGTACTAGAGTGTGACGGGAGAAGTCCAGCTATAGAACTGCAGCACGTTTGCTGTAGCACTTTCTCATTTTACATGATGCCTAGTTTATAAAACTTAATGAAGTGTTTTGTTGATTTTTTAAAATAAAATCACTCTTGGGAAGGAAATGTATGACTTTTTTCCCCCCTTAAATCCTCATTTTTTAAGAGAAAATCTTTTTGTTTTAGGAATACATGCCTAACTCCTAAGTGACCTGGGTATTAGAATCTCACTAATTGACATTATCTGATGTAATTTAGACCACATCTTGTAGAGTCTGTTCAACTTTGGATGTTAAAGAAATGGTAAGATAGTGAAATGACCTGGAAACCATACCATAGCATGAACAGTAGAAGGATCTTGGGGTTTGGCCCTGAAAGCTTATAGTTGTCTTTAAATAATGGCAGGGCTGTTGTGTAAACTTGCTCAGTAAGGCAGAGCTAGGGGGCAAATTTCAGCTTAACAAAAGAAAGAACTTTCTAATAATCAGGTTTGGCCCTGAAAGCTTATAGTTGTCTTTAAATAATGGCAGGGCTGTTGTGTAAACTTGCTCTGTAAGGCAGAGCTAGGGGGCAAATTTCAGCTTAACAAAAGAAAGAACTTTCTAATAATCAGAGCTGCCCAGGAATAGAATGAGCTTTCTCAAAAGGGTAAATTTCCCTTCACTGGATGAATTTAAGAAGGTTTACATGCCATCTCAGAGGTCCTGTTAGAGATGTTACTGACAGTGCTTGAAGTCACTGAATGACATGAACATTTCCTAAATCACTGTTGTCATCATGCATTCCATTTTACATAGTGCTTCATAGTTTACCAAGCACTTCCACACATGTTATGGTTTAATCCATCATGCTTAGTTCTGACAACATTCCTGTGTGTCCAATGACATTATCCTGATTACAGCATTGAAGAAATAAGGACCCAAATTAGTTAACATGACCTAATCTAATAAGTAACAATTAAGATTATAATCTAGGTCTTCTGATTTTGAATCCAGTGCTTTTTCTGTAGCCAAGATAATTTACTTTAATTTAGCCTTTTTAATAAAAGGATGAAGAATTCTTAGAATCCTAGCATCTTAGGTATGATCCATCCTACTTATTTATTTTTTTCCCTTTCAACTTGTATTCACTGCATAAATGTTAAGAAATAGCACAACAATAGGGGCTAAAAAGATTTTTATATACATTCTATGTCATATCAAGTGTTATTTTGCATAATTTTTTCAAATTCTTATTCATAAGCACATATAGTAATCTAGATTTAGTTTTGTATTCTACATGATTTATTTGAGGAAACTAGCCCAAAGAGGTTGACTTCCTCTAGTTTACAGAAGGTGCTAGTAATGACACCGGTACCATGAGGCAGTCCAGAGTTCTGTCCACCAAACCAGGCTGCCTAGGAGAACTGTGGGGATGCTCCCTTGCCTTGTGTGGAAGAGTACCTGGAAGCACTCAGTAAACAGGTGTGGACAGGACCAGATCCTTATTCTCAGGAGCAGTCTCTTATTTTTTATAGTTCTGAGTGATACGTGTATTATTATATCTTCGCCAGGATTATTTTGGAGTCTGTTCAGAGCCAGTGATCAAAGACAATGTGGTTGTGGTTTACGAGGTATTGGAAGAGATGCTTGACAATGGGTTTCCACTGGCTACTGAGTCAAACATCCTCAAAGAACTGATAAAGCCTCCGACTATCCTCCGAACAGTTGTCAACACCATAACAGGTATGGAGGAGGGGCACTGACAGAGAGTTGCCATCTGGGTGTGGCTCAGTACCCTGTTGTGCTTTGTTTTGAGTGGTTGTCTTTAGGGATCTCAAGTGTCCAGGTGCTTTAATTTTGCTGTTTATAGTCTTTGAGTATAACCTGAAATAGTATTTCTGTTATGTAGAGAATACCCTGATTTCAATGACAAAATGAAGTGTTCTCTTTAAAAAGAATTTTTTTTTCTGATTACAGAAGAAATTTTGGAAATACAGAAAAGCACAACGAAGAACATGAAAATCACTCTTAATCCCACCACATTTTTAACATACCAGTGTATATATTTCTCATCTTTTCTAGATGGTTGAATGATGGTTGGATAGAATGGTTTTAAACAGTAACATACATTTTTTAAACTTCTGTTAATATTTTGTAAGTCTTATCCCATTATGATATTCTTTTATCATTTTTTTTTTTTTCTACAGGATCCGAACCCGTGGCCTTCGTGTTATCAGCACCGCACTCTACCGAGTGAGCCACGGGCCGGCCCTCTTTTATCATTTTTAATGACTTTATAGTTTTCTTCCATATGGAATGGACCCTAAGTTATTTAGTCAATCCCTGTTTATGATGCTTATGATTTTTTGTTCTTTTAAATAACAAGGGATTAACATTCTTTAAATCTTTGTGCACATCTAGGATGATTTCTGTTCAGTACTAGAAATGGAAGTGCTGGGGAAAGGGGTATGTACATTTTAAGGACGTTAATGCATTGTGTCAAGTTGCCCTCCACAAAAATTATACTAAATTATATTTTTAGTAGCAACTACTATGCTGTTATCAAGCCCAGTGTTATTATTGTTATTAATTTTTAGAAACTTTGCAATTTGATAGTTTGTTGATATCTTGTTATTTACACACACTTTTTTTGTTACTAAGGAAGTTAAAACCTGTTCGAGTATTTATTGACTATTTTTCCTCTATTGTGAATTAACTTTTTGTGTCCTTTGCCCATTTTTTTGTGCCTTTGTTTTTTTTTTGGTTGTTTTTTGGTTTTTTGTTTTTTGTCAGCTGGCTGGTATGGGGATCAAACCCTGGACTTTGGTGTTACTAGCACCATGCTCTAACCAGCTGAGCTAACAGCCAGCCTGCCCGTGTTTTTTAATTGAAATGTTTTTCTTTTTTCATACTTATTTAAAGAACTTCTTTCATTTAAGGAAGTATCATGTATATTTAAACTATCATGTATATTGTCATTTAATATTCTACATGATGTTGTTTAGCCATATCTTAAATGTTTTGATTTAGTCAAATTAATCATTCTACCTCATTAGGTTTTACGTTTTGGGTCTTGTTTAGTGTGTAAACAAGAGTTTTCATGGAATTTGACAAACTGATTGAAAAATACGTTTTAAAAAGTGCACGAATAACCAGGACAGTTTTGAAAAAGAAGTACAAAGCAGTTGGAAGGATTTGCCCTCTGAAATATCAAGACATATTAAATTCATATGGTGCTAAGACAAAAATTCATTGAGTAGACATACTAAAAGAGCCAGGACAGTTTTGAAAATAAATTTTTTTTAAAAAGAGCAAAACAATATGTGTCATAACAGATACAAGATATATTGTGAAGTTTTGCTAATTCATAAATATGGTTTTGACTCAGTAATAGAGAAATACATTATTGGGGTAAAATAGAATGTCCAGAAACAAACCCTTGCTTTTATAGGAATTTGATATAGATAGTTGTGGTCATAAGTCAGTGGATCAAGGACCAGTTGTTGAATATATTGTATTAGGATAATCAGCTTCAATATGGAAAAAAAATTAAGTTTCTCCACTTTATACTATATACAAAGGGAATTCCAGCTAGATTAAGAAATTAAACAGAAACAAACTTTATAATTACTGTATTAGAAGAAGACATAGGAGAATGTCTTTTTGATCTTGGAGAAAAGAAGGTCTTGTATAAAAGTATTTTCTTCTAGTTCTTTTATGGTTTTATTTTTATATTTAATTCTTTAATCCATTTTAAAATTATCTTGGTATACAGTAAGCCGTTATTTCTCCAAAACAGTCAGTTTTCTTAGCATCATTTACTGAATAATTTATCCTTTTTCCATATTTTAAAATGGTATTTTTATCTTACACTAAGTCATTCTGGATTCTTGGTATGTTTTTAGACTTTCCTGCCTTCTTACCATACTGCCTTAATTATTATAGCTTGATGATATATTTTAATACATAGTGCCGCCTCTTAAGAAAACAGATTTGATGGTTTTTAAAAATATTCTAAGCTCATTTGAAGCTTTAAAGGCTTTGTTAGTGCCTGAATCATTTATGAGTATTATGAAGTCATTTAAGCCTGTATGCCACTTAAATCTAGAAAAAGATACCTAAGAACCACTATTGAAAAGCTGAAATGTTTTGCAAACATGCTGAATATACGTGTTTAGTGTTTCTTTCTTTAGATTGAAAAGATCCAGACAATGGAAAGTAGAATTTAAATTAGTTATAGTATTGTATTATTTTAGTATAAAACCTTTGAATTAAAAAATTTTTTTTGATGCCTGTTGGGGGAAAAACAAGTTAGGGAATTGATCTGCAACACTGAAGGACTGGGAATGATCTAATTTGTATTTTTTCTACATTTGAGTATTGGCATGAGACAGATCATGTTGATTTAGACATTTAATACCTACTATAAATGTACCTGTTATTAGTCCATTTTGTGTTGCTATAACAAAATACCTGGAACTGGGTGATTTATAAAGAAAAACGAAATTTATTTGCTTATTGTTTCTGATTCTGGGAAGTCCAAAGTCCATCTGGTCGTGGAGACAGTGTCCCAGAGATCTCACATTGCAAGGTGGTAGAAGCAGAGAGAGAGAAAGAAAGACTCTCTTCTTTTAAAGCCCTCAGAACCATGCCCCTGACCACCATTTTTAATCCATTCACTACTGCATGGTCCTACAGTCCAATCACCTCTTTAAGGTTTCACCTTTCAATTACCATAATAGGATTTCCCATACCCTCAACAGTCACAGTGGGGGCTAAGTTTCTAATACATGAAGCTTGGGGGACACAATTCAAGCTTCAATGAGTTTTGGGGGGACAATTCAATCCACTGCAGTACCCAAGAACCTACCTCAAGCTAGAATACTGTTTTTACTCATGAAAATTTTATACCTCTGTGTGATTACAAACCCTACTGGAAGCCAATACATTATTTAAGCTGCAAGCTATTGTAGAATTTGAGATGCTAAGGTCAGGTTACTTTCAAAACCAAAGTATGATATCTGTTTCTCAGGTAACTTTTTTTTAAACCTTTATTCTGCTTAAGAAGGCAGACCAGATGATGACGGGTTTTTAAAACAGATTAGATTAACCTATATAGAAGTTGGGAAAAATCTCATCTTGTGTTTGAAAGCTCTTTGAGTGCATGAGTAGTGAGGAGCATAGAGACTTCTGGGGAGTGTCCTGTGGTTGTTAGAATCAGATTGGTATTAAAGTACAGTAATGTTAATTATTTCAGGAAGCACCAATGTGGGTGACCAGCTTCCCACTGGGCAGCTGTCAGTGGTGCCTTGGCGGCGGACTGGAGTGAAATATACCAACAACGAGGCCTATTTTGATGTAATTGAAGAGATTGATGCCATTATTGATAAATCAGGTAGGTGCTTTCGTGTGTTCTCAGAAATATGAAAATAGAAAGGTCATTCATTTTAATTTATTGCCTACTTTGTGTTAAACGCTGTGCCAGGTCCTGGGAATGGAATTTAATGTTACTATGCAGTCCAGTGTTTGTCTGCCGCTTGTTTTAGAGATCTTATCCTCTTGTATAAAAAAGAGAAGTAACAGGCTGGCCTGTGGCTCACTCGGGAGAGTGTGGTGCTGATAACACCAAGGCCATGGGTTTGGATCCCATATAGGGATGGCCGGTTAGCTCATTGGGTGAGCGTGGTGCTGACAACACCAAGTCAAGCGTTAAGATCCCCTTACCGGTCATCTTTAAAAAAAAGAAAAGAGAGAGAGAGAAGTAACAAACTAATCTCTCGATGATTTGATTTCCTTTTGGAAAGTATTTGACTCCCCATTCTGATGGCAGAACTAAAGTTGTAATCACTGATATTTAGGGAGCCTTCTTTTCTCTCTATCCTGAACTAGGTAAATATGACTAGCAGCCCTAGAGTTTAGACATTTGTAGAAAGTTCTCTTCAAATTAGTGAACTTATTCATACAACAAATGTTTATTGAAAACTTGGTTATATAGCACAGTGCTGGATAGTGGGCATTTGGTGATGAATAAGACATAGTCTGTGGCCGTAGCAAGTGTAATTAAAGTCTGGTGAGGGAGAGAGAAAGGAAAGAAGGTGGAGCATGTGAGAGGTGTCGCACCGATTTTGAGCAAAGTGGACAGAGAGGTGACAGTATTTGTGTTTCATCCATGGAAAGAACAGAAGTTCTTGAGACCTGCATGGACTTGGGAGCAAAGTGTGGACAAACACTCTCAGATAAGTGAAATACTCTTGGGAACTATATGACTGGGTCGAGAGTCACGGAAAGAGAAGCAAGTGATGCTGCTCAGCTTCTCATATTTGCCCACATGTCCATCAGCAGTAGAAAGGATGAATAATTTTTGATGAGGTCACATAGTAGAATACTATACAGTAGTGAAAAAGGGTGAATTACTGATACATCCAGCAACATGAATGAACCTCACAATATTGAGCGAAAATGTCAGATGCATAAGATTATATACAGTGAGGGATTACATTTATGTGAAGTTTGAAAACAGACACAACTTAATCTAAGGTAATAAAAGTCACAATTTGGGGGGTGCAGATTAACTAGGATAGGCAGAGAGAGGGAGCATGCTGGGCTGCTGGAAAGGTTCCATATCTTGATGTGGATAGTATTTACATAGATGTGTACATATTTAAAAGTTCACTGAACAATACACTTAAGATTTTTGCATTTTACTGTTTTACCTCAATGAAAAGGTAAAAAAATATATATATTGCTGGACAGATCATAAAGAGCCTGTATGCCATTTTAAAGAGGATGGTTGGGAGCAATTGAGGAGTCTTATGTTGGGGAGTAACTTGATCACATTTGTAGGTTAGAACTGTCAGTCCAGTTGCAGTGTGGGATAGCTTGAAGTGGGGTGAAACTAAAGGCAGGGAAAACATTTAGGAGGCTGTTGTGAAGTTGAGGCACAAAATGTAGATCTCCATGATGGTGGTGACAATGGGGAGGAATGAATATATCTAGAGATGTAAGTCCTAAAAAAGAGGGATTGAGAATTGACTGGAAATGGGGACCGAGAACGTAAAAATAGTCAAGGGTGCATCCGTGTTTCTGGCTTAAACAAGAGGGTAGATGTCATCAGAAAGACATGGAGAATAGGAGGAGCAGTCCAGGGAGTAAGAATGGGTTCACTTTTCGACAGGTGGAGTTTGAAGTACCTCTATGACATCCAGGTGGAGATGTCCCACTAGGCAGGGGTGAGGCTGGACTTGAAAAATAGGAAACAATTGGCCATAAATGAAAATTGAAACCTTGGGAAATAGGTAAAGTAACCCAAGGAGAGAGTGTGGAGTGAAAGAGAAGTTCAGAACTGTGAAAAAGCATAGACTTTTAAGAGAAACCTGCAAAGAAAAAGAAACCTTCAGAAGATACTAAGGAAGAGGTGGGAAATAGGAGAAGACAGGAGAGGTGAGGAGCGTTTGAAAAGGAAGAAGTGGTCAACAATGACAAGAGAGATCCTGTAGGATAGAGCCAAAAGTGTTTTGACTTAGCTGCAAAGTTCATTGGTGACCTTAGGGAGAGCAGTTGCTGATGGGAAATTTTCTGAGCCATTGGTTAAGATAGTGGCACTCTGTTTGATTCTGGTACTAGGTGGGAAACTCCTTAGGCCAATAAGTATCTCGGTCTTTTATCCCCGTTACTTCATCATAGTGTCTCATACTTCATATGCAGTTAATAAATATTTGGAAGGATGGACAAATGGATTGGATAAATGAATTGGATGGCTGGACAGAAGGAAGAAAGGGAGAGAGGGAGGAAGAAAAGAAGGGAAGGAGGGAAGAAATAAGCTAGTTGGGAAGGACAGAGAAGTGTTCAATCGTCTCATATTCTTTTTGTCTTATTCTGGTCTCAGGTTCCACAATTACTGCTGAGATCCAGGGGGTGATTGATTCCTGTGTCAAGCTGACTGGAATGCCAGACCTTACACTCTCCTTCATGGTAAAATCCTGGGCTAGAGATTGAGTTCTTGGGATGAGAAATTAAATGCTTCTGGAAAGATAGAGTGGTGAGAGTGGAATAGAACAAGAAGAACTAATTAGGACAGCCACAAAGCTTAGACTGGGCTTGAATTTTCTATAGATAACTACAGAATTTGTGTGTGTGTGTGTGTGTGTGTGTTTTAATAAAAAAATCTACATTTCCTTCAGGAAATAACAGATGTTTAACTCACACTTCCTGCTCTTCCTTGCCTGACACCCACAGAACCCCAGGCTGCTGGATGATGTCAGCTTCCACCCTTGTGTTCGTTTCAAGCGCTGGGAGTCCGAGCGCATCCTCTCCTTCATCCCTCCTGATGGAAACTTTCGCCTGCTCTCTTACCATGTCAGTGCACAGAAGTAAGCAGCTCTTATAATTAGGGATGGAATCTGTCTTTATATATGTATGTGGAAACAATATCTGTAGTGATTAAGAATGCAGGCTCTAGAGTTACCTGGGTTCACATTCCAGCTTCTGTAGTTACTAATTGACTAACCTTGGGTGAGTTGCTTAACATCTCTTTCTGTTTTCTTATCTGTAAATCAAAAATAATAAAAGTACCTTGTTATAAGGATTGAATAAGAGAATATAAGTAGTGCTTAACACAAAATAAGTTCTCATTAAGTTTGCTGCTGTTATTTTTCATTGTTTTTATATGTCTAAACAAGAACTTTTTTTCTCAAATTAGAATACGGGCATACCTGAGTTCAGTTCCCTCCACCCATTAAACTATTCTATGGAAAAGCATTAAATGCAGTGATTTTTTGGTCTTGAACATTCTCTTTAATTTGGAGTCTAAAAGCTTTTGGAAGCATTATTTTATAGTAGAAAGTATGCAGACTAAAGAGAGCCAGGAGACCTTAGCACCACCATTGCTTTCGTGTGTGATTTGGAATAAATCATTCAGGAAAGTATCTGCTTGCTTGAGGTCAAAGTCTCGGAATCAGACTGCCCGTACTTAAATCCCACCTTCAGTGCGTATATGACCTTAGACATATTACTTAGATAAGTCATTTAACCTCAATTAAATGTGAGGACATCGGTGTTCATCTGTAAAATCAGTACCTACTTCATACTCACTAGGAGGATTAAATGAGGTAAGGATTAAACGGACAGAAAGCATTTAGCATAGTGACTGTCACATAGGAGTACTCAATAAGTGTTAGGAATGTTATTACTTCAGAAATATTCTGTGACTTCTCTGAGTCTCTTCCCTCTCCTGTGAAATCATGACAGCCTACCTTACCTTTTGTGAGGATCAAATGAGGTCAGATAAAAGCACCTTTAAGAAATTATGAAAGGACTGTCAGGTATGAGCATTACTCTCCCTAGTACAAATAGTGTTGGTCACATGTCACAGATTAAAGCATTTTTGTTCATTATGCCTTTTTCATTGTAGGCTTGAATACTCTTTGATTTTGTTTATATTATTCAAAAGAGTTATTAGAAAAGTTAGTTTACTTACTAGACAGCATCTTGGCTTTTCAAAAAAAATTAAAGTTTACTGGGTTCGTTTTTTAAGATAAGGAGTAAAGAGTAGGGAAATAAGTAGGGGAGAAAAGTCTGCCAAAAAGGAAAGAAAAGCATAATGTGAAAGAAGGAAATGTTACCATTTTTCCAGTACATTGTCGAAGTAGACTTTTTGTCTCTCTCTCTTCCAGTCTGGTTGCAATTCCAGTGTACGTCAAACATAACATCAGTTTCCGGGACAGCAGCTCACTTGGACGCTTTGAAATAACAGTGGGACCCAAGCAGACCATGGGGAAGACCATAGAGGGAGTGATTGTTACCAGCCAGATGCCCAAAGGAGTCCTGAATATGAGCCTCACTCCATCACAGGGAACACACACATTTGACCCAGTCACAAAGGTAGGGGAATAAGCAGGACATTTTAAACTGCTGATGTTAAGTAGAAGTAACTCTGCAGGAGCTCCCCACATGTAATTTATGACTTGTTTTGAAAGGTGAGATTAATCAAAAGGACATTGTTTTCTACCTTGAGATAACTTATGGTAACAAATAGGATTCTCTATTGAAAAACAGAGAGCAGCTTATAATATTGTGAACAGGTGCCTGAGATTCGAGCTCATCCACCTCAGATGAAGGTTCCTCTGTAATTAATTATCTTATTGGAAAGACCACTTCTTTTTTGTTTTCTTTGAAGATGCTGTCTTGGGATGTAGGAAAAATAAATCCCCAAAAGCTACCAAGTTTGAAGGGGACCGTGAGTCTTCAGGCAGGAGCTTCTAAACCAGATGAAAATCCCACAATTAACCTGCAGTTTAAAATCCAGCAGCTGGCCATTTCTGGTAAGTGACCCGCAGCTCATGCGGCTTTGAAGGGAACAGAAATGGCTTTTTTTCCTATAAGGCATGGATATCAGGAAGCCTTCCCGTGGCTCTTTATTTAAAAGGTTTGGTTTTGTTACTTGATATGTAATCATTAGTAAAATCTTTTCCAGCACATTTCTGGGAAGTTTACAATTTTTACTTTGAAGTTGGCCTAAGTAACCTCTTAAAGTATCTAGAATGCAAGTGAGAAAGAAACAGTATTAGTAGACAGAAGTGTTCCCAGGCCTTTGTTGGGTCATCCTAGGGTTGTTAATTTCAGGCTTCCAAGGTTTTCAGTATGAGAATGCTTCTGCATTCCCAGCTGGTAACTGAAAAGAATAATTTCTACTTCTTTCTCTCAGTTGGAACTGTTGGGGCTATACAGGTCAGTCCCCTGTAGTCTGCACCTGCCTTAGGATGACAGTAATAATAAGTTACTACTTACTGGGCATTTGCTATGTGCCAGGCACTTTCTAAAGCTCTTTTCATGTATTATTTAATGTTTAGAACAACGCTGTGAGGTACAAAGGAGGTGACTTTAGCTGTATATGAAGTTCCAGTTTTTCTTTACCAACAGGCCTTGTCTAATTTAAGTGATTAGAATTCATTTCAATTATAAGCTTTTCCATCTTAAAACATTAAACTATAAAGCTCTCTACAGTGTATTTTATGCTTAGTACGGTGAGAATACTTAGGATGCATTCATTTATTCATTTTTCATTATTCATTTCGTTATGATTTATTACATTTTAATTCATTTATTTTAATTAAATCATTTACTCAGTCCAATAACTTGGTCTTATTTTTTCCTCGCTCTCATCCCAGTCTGCATATCACATTCTGCACTTGCCACTTCAGGAGCGGGTCTTCTTGTGGGGTAGGCTTCTTGTTGGAGCAGTTTTCAGCATATGTCCCAAGAGCAGAGACTGTTCACTCTAGAAGTGGTTCCTTGTCACAGCTATCTTTATCCCATTAATCTTTTTGAACTGAAATGAATGGAAACACTTATGCTACCTTCTTCTTTTGAATAATACTCATGTCTTGTTCTTCCTCCCTCCATCCTTTCCTTCCAGGACTCAAAGTGAACCGTTTGGATATGTATGGAGAAAAGTACAAACCCTTTAAGGGAATAAAATACATGACCAAAGCTGGAAAATTCCAAGTTCGAACGTGAAGGGAGAGTTTTGCAGAAGGAACAGTCGTGAACACTTTTTCATTTCTTGTCTAAAAGTAAAAAATGTCAGCCTGTCTCCTAGGTCAGTCCCCTTCTGGACCTACCTGCTCCCTGTTTTCCTCTGCCTTCAATGCCATGGGACTAAGCGAGAGAGAGGAGGGTCACCGTGGAGAGCTGGACAGAACCGAAACACGGTCAGCACCAACTCAGCTCTCCAAGAAGAGATGCCTGAGGGAGGACAGAGACACTGGACACCACATTCACTGTTTTTAACGTAGAAAAAGACTAGCATTTGTTGCTTGCTAGGCTTTAATGATCTAAAGCCAATGAAAGACTTTTTTGTCGAATTTTTTTTTAAGGTAGAAAGATTAGGAAGAAAGAAAGGTTGGAAGTAAAATGAGTGTAAGTCTTAGAAAGGCCAGTTAAGGATCTAATCTGTGAGGGAGAGAAGGGAGGAAATAGTATTAAGGAAGAGTCGTGCGGAGACATAGTAAAATGAAAGATTGTCAAGAGCAGTGATGAGACTCCACCTTAAGGAGGGTTGGGAAGAATAAAGTGGAGTTGGTTTCTCATCCCTCTACTGTCATATGAAAAGCATTTGTTTTAGAAATGAACAGGAGACTTGTAAAGTCGAGTCCACTATTGACGTGGGAAACTCCGGTAGAATCAGGTTTTCCCTTAAGTCTGTGATGATGCCAGACTAGTTTTCAGATGCTGTCACTTGCCTTCAGCATTTGGTCATCTTCAGTGAGCAGGTGACTTGCCCTCCTCCTGTGGTGGTTGCCTAAAATGCCTCTTTCCCTAACCCAAAACAGTGGTACTCACTTCACTTTATAGAACCCACCAGCGTTTTTCCTGTAACCTTATTCTTCCATAGGATTTTCTAAAAAGTAGGAGAGTTTCAGAAAAGTCAATCCCATAACCCCCAGTGCAGCCAGATGTGTGTCATGATATTGCAATAGAGATGGCCAAGTCATTTTCTGTGAAAGGAGACCACAGCCATAACCAAGTGATCCCATATTTACATTCATCAGGGCTAGATTGGTATTGGATCCAAACCTTCCTGTCTGAAACTTTCCCATCTGCAGCCCTAAGTAAAAATGCTCACCACTGAGGCATGGCTGATCCTTGAAGCTGCGTGTCAAAGTTATCCTTTCCTCAATAGTTTGTTCTATACCCTAGTCTATATTTATTAACCATAGATACCTACTAGTCCATTTTTGCTTTAAGAATAAAAAAAAAAATCTCCTAAATTTGTGAATAAAATTCATGCTGTAGGAAGATAGGCCATGTTGATCTTGTGTAACCAGCCCAGTTTAAGAAACATGGCAACCAAAAGAATACTCTAGGCTTTCCCAATGGGTTGTTTTTATTCTAGTTATGTGTTTGTTACCCATTTAAATGTTTGTATAAAAGACAGGTTTTTAAACATTATTATTGCAGCTTAAGGAATGATACTGTGCTCTGCTTCGTGCATAGCATGGAGAAAAAGGAAGACCTATGCTGTCCAAGCCTTAGAACTTTAAAGCGCAGTTTCCAAATACTTGTGCGAAGTTTTTGCTGGTTTTATTTTTCTTTCTGGGAATTAGTTTTGCTTCACAGTGGAGTGGTTTGCTTTGTGAAAACCACTGTGAAGCAAAACTAAGTCCCAGAAGTAGAATATAAAACTAGGAGTTTATCCTCTGGGATAAACCGTGCTGTACACAATTGCACGTTTCCTGCTCTGTCACTCCGGAATTTGTCCTGGGTTTCTGTGCCCATATACACACCTACTGCGATGGGGAAACGTCTTTGCCTGTGGATTCCAGGATACTTGATATCACTTCTGGAGGCTCTAAAGGATTTTAAGGTTTCCTAAGTCACAGGAAACTACTAAGCCTGATCTCTGAAATTTTTTAGGTTTATAAGTACAGCTGTTTTATTTCCTAGAGGAAGTTGTTTTATTTCCTATTTCAAGGGAGGTACCTAAGAAGAAATAAAGTGTCTGGAGTATGGGACCTTAGCAGGCCTAAGCACATGTGAAGTAGCTTTCCCATCCTGTGTGTGGCAGACCTCAGGTGCTGCAGAGCACCTGCTGCTCCCCAGCAGCACGTCAGGTAGCACAGGTAGTGCAGAGTCTCAATGGAGCCGCCGGTTCTATGTTTAATGTGCAAAAGTAGCTTCTCTGTTTACAGCTTAATAAAGTTGAGTTTTACCAGTCCTCTGTGTCCTAAGAGCTTTGTGATAACTGCAGTAATGCTGTGCCATGAATGCCTCAGCAGAAGTGGTTAGTAAGGAATTCATGTACTTGGGGTGTTTACTACTTTTGTACAGCTGTGAAACCTGAGGCCATATGTATAGTTTGATTCTCTAGTCACCTCTAGAAGGTAGGGATGTTGATATGAATGTCATTTTTAAGGTTGTGGGAACTAAGGTCCTGATCAATTATTTTTCGCCACGGTGTAAAAGACAAAACCTTTAAAGCTGCAGGTGACTGTTCTAGTGCTTTCCCCATTCCCTGGACCCGCTTCTCAGGTTTATTAATTTAGGCATGAACAGGGCTTCAAGGTACTAAACACCTCTATTGTAGTAGAGATTTCTTGGAAGAGAAGGTGTTGGGAGTCTGTAAAGTGTAGACATTGATTGTTATTCCATATCTATTAATTTTCTTCTATAAACCTCATAGCCATGAAAATACTTTGACTTGTTTACTAACGATACATGTCCAGCATTTGTTAATACTCCATCCTCTCTCAGCTGTTGTTTGGTATTTCTTTTCCCTTGGCCTGGATGTTTTGGTGGTAGTATGTGACCAGTAGGTGGTGACTTAGTGCCATCAATACTAATTTTTTAAAATTGTTAGAATTTTTAAAAGGGAATTTAATTTGAAACTTAAACTTCCTCCAAGATCCTAAGTACTGGGGATTGTGTGAAGTCTTTGGCTTTTGAAGTGAAATATGGAACCCAAAGTGTATGACACGTCTTGGTAAGCAGATGTTATTGGTCTGCAGGAAGACAGCAGTTTCAGCAGTCTGAGTTCCTCTAGGTCTTTACCTTGAAACACATTGCATGGTTACTTCTTCCTCAGGTCTGCTGGCATCTGTTTGCTTTATTAACCAGCCAGGCATGGTAAGGAAATAACATTTAATTTCCCCTTGTGCCCATTCCCTTCCCCTGACAAGTTCTAGACATTTTATCCTAAATTTCCCTGTTTGCTTTATTAACCAGCCAGGCATGGTAAGGAAATAACATTTAATTTCCCCTTGTGCCTATTCCCTTCCCCTGACAAGTTCTAGACATTTTATCCTAAATTTCTTAACCCATTCTGGGTAGTGATGTGTTGCTCTTTGAGTGCATTTTAGCATAATTCAAATGAATCTGTCTTGCGGAGCTGGGGCTCTTCCCTGCAACTTGGCCATGGCCTCTTCTGAGTAACGGTCTTCATCTAGTCTGGTTTCCAGGACTGCACTCAGGAACGCTGGGGCCTTTTAGTTCTACTTTTCCTCCCCAGGAGGACTTACTGGTTCAGCTCATTCCATTAACCTGACTGTTGAGAGAAAAGCGTGTCATGGAAGGGGGAGAGCATGCAACCGGTTGGATTTCTGCCAGAGGCGCAGTGGCCAGGATTCCTGCTATCACTGTCTTCAAACCATGTTTTTCTGAAGTGATTGAGATGCATTTGTTTCTAGAATAAAATCTTGCAACTTGTGAGTGAGCAGTCTGAAGTCACAAATTTGTGACTTAAGTCTCTGCAGCCTCCATTTATTTAACTGGCCCAGAGACTTCAGCATTTCAGGGAAGTAGGCTGCGACACCCCCCACACCCCCAGTCAAGCTCTTGGACTTTAGACAATCTCTGTCTTTTGTGAGTTTAAACGGCATCTAAGAACCTCTAAATTGAGCAGTTCCCACAACCCTTCCAGAGACAGAGACAACTACGACCACCTTTGTCTTCTCCAGGAAGCTGCATCAGCACATACACAACAGCAAGCATTGCAACCTGGGATTTATTCTTGGAACTAGGGTGTTGGTGACAACAAAAGCTGTCAGGCAGCAGCCAGGAGGAGCATGGAGTGCATTTTGTGGGTGGTTAGAAAATAGTCTAAGCAGCATTACTTGAGGAACATACTTCTGTGAACTGATTCGGGAGTTAATTCTTTCTGATGAGCAGAAAAGCAAAATAGAATGGGGAAAAATGACCCAAATACTAGCTTCTAGGTCAAACTCACAATTGGGATGTTGCTGTGTTAGCAAGACTGTGCGTAGGCTCCTCGTCCTTTTATCGTGTCTCCTTTATCCCTTAAGCTGCCCTCCACTTTCCCTCAGTCACAGCGTGCTCAGCTCACCACTTCCCCAGGCAGAAATCCCAGTGGCCTCGCTGCCTGCAGAGTGAAGTGTGAGCTCAGTTTAGCGCTCGCTGCCATAATCCAATTCCAACCTATTCTGCTTTTCGTGAAGTTCGCTTTAGAGTCTACTGCTCATTCCTGCCCATATGCCCACTTTCCCTTTCACCTCCAGATCTTTCCAGATCTTTCTCCAGCCTTTTTTCTCACTGAGCCCACCCCACTTTTCTCCAGATCTTTCCAGATATTTTCATGTAGTGAAATTGTCTCAGGATTGCCTCTCCTGTACCCGTCCACCAGTCCAAACCTTACCCAATATAAGAGCCTTTCCTAATTCTATTTTTTTTCTTAAGACTCCCTAATCCCTCCTGCAATTGAATTTCAGTAAGTTTCTGCCACTTTGTGGCCTATCTTCATTCTATCCTGTTATCACCTTGTATGCAGCAAGTGTCTCATGTATGCTGAAGGAAGGAAGGAAATATTTCAAATGATTCAAAAAATGTGAACACAAATAACATGAGTAGATAAGCCGTGAGATACTACATATGTGACAGAACCATTCCACTCTGGGAAAAAAATGTGAAAAATATATTTGAATTTATTATTCACGTACACTATAATACAGGGTTGTGGCAACAAAGTAAAACTAAAATGGACTGATAGAAATATGTTAAAGCCTAGTTTATCTGTTATTAACATAATACAATTCTCCTGTTCTACTATAAAGTTTATAAGGAAAAAAGATTCACACTATACACAAAAGGAATACCTTCCCAGAGTTGTGGAGTGGAGGAAGGGGAAAGCAGAAGACTCAATTTATTTTATCAGCAGCTGGCCAGCAAGGGCATCGAAACCCTTGACCTTGGCATTATCAACACCACGCTCTAACCAACTAAGCCAACTGGTCAGCCCAGAAGACTTGGTCTAACGGATGGTTTTGAGGAACATGATCGGGCTGGCCAGCCCAGCCCTTATTTGGAGGTCTTGCTGAGCCTCTTGTGGTTATAAATACACATTCTATTTCTAGTGCAATCTTCCTTTCCTGAAGGATCTAGTTATTTCTTACTATTGAGACATGCCTTTATCTTTATGGTCTCATTTCCAAAGCTGCTCATGTTGACAGTTTAAGAGGTTGGGTTTTTGGTTGGAAATGCGTTGGCTTACAATGGTGGTATTCCAGAAGGCGTTAGCATGTATTTGTCTTCCCATCTGACATTACATTCTGAAATCAGACCTTAACCCTGAAAACTTCCATAATAGGAAGTACCTATGAAAATATATGCTCCTCCCGCTCCCATCGGATCTCCTGCTGTTTCTGCTGAATGGTGCTTTATGGAGAAATCTGTGTGAAAGGAACACTCCATCTTTGCAGTATGTGTTCTGAAGAGGGAGAAGCAGGGTCTCATTTGGTTTCAGGGAGTTGGGTTTTCTTGGTCATGGTCACATATTGTCTTGAATCCAGTCTAGGTAATTAGTAACCTTGGTATATACACCTGGAACGTCCTTCTGCCCACAGCCAACACCCCAACTGATGATGCCAACCAGAGTCATGCGACTGTCCCTCATGCACACCAAGGGGCCTCCTGAGTCACCCTGCAAAAGAGAGAACACTCAGTTCTGTGCAAAACAAAGCAGAATATTTGGTGGGGGGGAAGTTAGGGTTAATCGTAATGTGAATATTGTATTCTTCAAAGTACTCAGTTCAGAGAGGGAAAATTTTGTCTCAGTTATCTTCATCCTCTAGAGGATTAGGTGGTATCTACTCTGGTGAAGGAGAATTGAGACAGTTGTTCAGGCATTTCAAGCCTCTGCCCTGGTTTGAACTCCACCACTTTCACTAGCTATGTGGCTTTGGCTAACTATGCTTCAGTTTTCTTATCTGTAAAATAGAGATAATACTGTCTACCTCATAAGGTTGTTACAGGAATTATTGGAAGAATGCATGAAAAACTGCTAAGAACAATGTATGACATCTAGGAAAACTCTTGGTAATTGTTAGCTGTTATACTGAATCAAAATGATTTTTTGTCTGTTTTTAGCGTTAAGCATGCGGATAGAGAATGGTGTACTTTGTGTACAACCTTGTTTTGGCTGTGAGGTAGGTGGTACAGTTGAGGCTTCTGAAGAAACCGTTAAAAGAGAGACCAAACACTGTCAAGAAACCAAGCAGGGAACTGCCGATGTGATTGCCTTACAAGAGCAGAGCCACGAGGTCTTATGGGCCAGAGCCTGCCCCTCCTCTCTGTGTGCCCTCTCAAGTCCTGCCCTGCAGGGGAGCTCAGCACACTGCAGGCACCGAAGGTTGGGCAGGTTGGGCTGTTTCCTGTGTCACAGTATCTTGTTAATCATGAAATGTGAGTACCAATTCTGATAAGGATGCCAACGTGGAGGACCTAAAATAGTTTGCTTCCCAGGACATTAGGGCTGCCTGTTTCCTGTGTCACAGTATCTTGTTAATCATGAAATGTGAGTACCAATTCTGATAAGGATACCAACGTGGAGGACCTAAAATAGTTTGCTTCCCAGGACATTAGGGCTGCATGTAAGTTTTTACAACTCATTTCTCACACATCATTTATATTTCACTTCCCAGTAAGGTGCCTCCTTTCTTCTTTTCCTTTCTACAAAGTAGTCTCCAATTCTCCAGCACCTACAGAAGTCAAGAATTTCTTAATTGTGTTGCTTGACCATCACTTCAATAGTTAATTGCCTAGGCTTACAGGAAATCCTGCACCAGGTGGAGTTTCCTGTGTAGACACTGGGGAAGTTTCCTGCAGTTTAGACTTCTTAAGTTTAAGTAACTTTGATCTTTCTCCAATTGCTTGATTCTCTGAGGCCCTCATCTAGAATCTCTAGGGCCTTGCCAAGATGAAATCACT